CATTGGTTGTAATGGTATCATTCCCAATTTTTAACTCTTAACAGTAGGTCTGTTTCTTTAAGTAATATTCTATTAATTCCTACTCCCTCTACACAAAAGGAAGTTAAGATTATTATTTTTTCCCATCTCTTACTTTATTTGTATTTATATCTATATTTATTTTTTTGTCTTTTTAGGTCTCATGGTTATCATTGTTAAGTTGCCTATAGTTTTGCCGTACTTCACGCTGCACTAATTGTATATAAATTCCTTGAGAACGATTCCTTCCTAACACCAAAGTTTCATTGAAATGGCCTTAAATACCATAGTATTATTATTATTACCTTTCCAAATGATGCCTATTTATGCCTTATGATCAGAGAAAGAATTGAAGCATCTGTTATGTACTGAGAGAGGAGACAGGGTGGTCTAAGGTGGGTGAATAGATCGGGGTAAGGGGATGGGAGAGGGGGAGGTGCAATCCGCTTAGGATAGAGTAGGAGAGGGGGGAGGGGAGGGGAGGACACATCACTTTGTTAAGCCATTGCCTCTGGGAAACATGTAGTGTTCAGTGTAGCGTTGTCTTGTGAAATTCGTTTACACGTAGATGGCCCCACAGTTGCTAAGCCACCAGACACTTGGCCTATGTTATCTCGCCTGATTTCCGCTTTCCTTGAGATTTGGGGATTTTGCCATTTTTTCGTAGTGATAGCGGTATCAGTGTTATTGTTATCTTTATTTGCGTTATTTTTATTAGAATGTTATTAACACTACTAATAGCATTGTGAAATCAAATGTTTCCAGAAAGGAAGGAAAAGGGTAAACAGGTGAGAGAGGTAGCACTGTCAGTTAATTCCTTGGTGACTTAGCACATGTAGAGCCATCAGTGTGTAAACACAATCAATAAACTATACTCACAGTGGGCATGGTATGTGTGTACAGCTACACAGAAAAATATTGTTAGAAAATCATGCTTAACATTTTGACACAAGCAACAATACTCTTTGAAATATAGTTGTTAGTAGTATGAAACTGTTGGTATCACCTGATTTTCCAATTACTTTTGGGTATGTGTGGCTTATCTGAATATTGCCAGGCATATTCCATCCCTTACAGGAATAAGATCATCTCACAATGAATCCATATGAATTCCGGAACGATTATACGAGACACGAATCAGAACGAGACAAATTCGAAACCCAAAATACCAACCATTCCGTAGCATAAGGTTCTGTTCACCATTAAGGGTTTCGAAGCACCTCCTTGCAATAGTTTTCTGTGTAGCTATACAGGCCTTCCCTAGTGACAATGGGTTAACGTGTGGATTTTCTTAATTTAATTTTCATTTTTCTCTTTTTCCATTTCTCTTTCCCCTTTTTTCTCCTCGCTCTCCCCCCTCTTCTTCTCTCGTCTCCACTCTTCTCCTCCTTTCCTCTTCTCTCGTCTCCACTCTTCTCCTCCTTTTCTCTTCTCTTCTCTTCTCTCCCTCTCTTTTTCCTTTACTATTCCTCATGTCTTTTTCTTCCATTTCCCTTCCCCCTCCTTTTCCTCTTTCCTTTCTTCTTTCTTTTTTCCTTTCCTTTTCTCTTTTATGCTAGTTCTATTTTTTGTCTTTCCCTTTGAATTCCCCATTTCCTTTTCCTTTTCTTTCCCCCTCCTCCTACTCTCTCTCTCTCTCCATTCCTATTTTGTTTTTATATATATATTTTTTTCCAATACATTTTCCTCCTCCTCCTTCCTCCTCCTCTCTGTCTCTCCTCCTCCTCTGTCTCCTCCTCCTCCTCCTCTATCTCCTAAACCTCTATCTCCTCCTCCACCACCTCCTCCTTTTTGTCATGTGTTTCAAGTGAGACAGCATCTATGTCCTGTTATTATTATTTTCCATATATTTGCGCTCTTTGTGTTGATTAATGATGTATGGTTGCAATAGAAGAAAAAAATGTTAGAATATTTTTACCAGAATCTCACATATGCAATGCCAAGGGTGAAAGCATTTTTTTTTACTACTATCATTATTGTTTATTATTATTATTGTTATTATTGTTATTATTATTATTATTATTATTATTATTATTATTATTTATTATTATTATTATTATTATTATTATTATTATTATTATTATTATTATTATCATTATTATTATTTGTACTGCTATGATTCATGATATTTTTATTATAGATTTTTGTTCTTTATATTGTATAAATGGTCAGTGTGGCAGGACAAGTAAAAAAAAAAGGGAAAACAAAAGGTGGTTAATATTATTATTACAAACATTAGTGGTTAAATGGAAATTGTGATATATTTCTCTTAAGTATCTTAGATTTTAAAGTTCATTTTGTTGCTGACTTGTAATTTTTAGCAAAGACCCAGCCGGCCCGGATGCCAAGAATGCATGTCATGGCAACTGTAATATTCATTCATTAATTTTCTTTGCACATACGGCCATATTCACAATCAATGCAATGCCCTCTGCAATGGGAGTTTGCGAAGGCGATCGCATTGTTGTACCCACAGTCGATG